CTCTCCTCCTGTTGTTCATCGATTTGCTTGAGTAGGCACCAGTAACGTCTCCATTGTGAGACTTGTTACTGTTTTTGGCATATCAAATACGACGCGGGTAGCTTGCCAGGCTTTGCCATGAGGGCAGGATAGTCTCAGTAGCTTGTCAGGCTCTCTGAGAGGGATGGAGTAATGGAACCTGGGTCAGCCGTGTGAGGGTAGGGATGCTAAAAGTTTTAGGATAGCTATTTAAAAAATTAAGGAGTTAGAATTTTTGTTTCTATATTGTTTTTTCTTTTCATTCGGCAAGTAAGAAAACTCAGTTTTTAGTGTAAGGTGATATAGCGTAATAAAATAGTCATAGTATGACATTAATATCTGTCTGATGTCATTATTTAAATTTTCTGCTCTTCAGACAAAATACAGACAAATACTTGATATTCTCACTTAATTATAGCTTGTAGAATAGCAAGATAAGGCAATGGAAAGTATAAAATGTGGGCAAATTTGGCCCTAGATTACAGAACTTGGATGTTAAAGAAAGGTGGAGTTGCAGAGAGTGGAGAGAAAAAGAGAGATGATGTCCATTGGTCAGGTCCTTGGATAATTTTGTGGTATAGAAGTGAGGTGGTGGTAAACATCAAAACTGTAAAAATGTGATAATTATATTTAAGAATTGATTTTTCTATGGAGGTGGGTGACAGGGAGAGAGGGGAACTGAGGACATTTGTGGAGGAACATTGACACTGGTGGTGGTATTGGAGTTGAAACATTATAAGCCTGAAACTTTATCAAAACTTTTGAAAATAATGGTATCTAATAAAAATTAAAATCTTCAACCAGCAAAATATACTCATAATGATATCTGTTGTATTGAGAAAAGTTTATGACCAAAGTCCTTAGGTTAGTACCTATACACTAAAGAAAAGAAATAGCAGTTTTTCATTTTCTCAGTGATACAGAATACACTGGAAAGCTCTATTTAATTCTATTTAACTCAGCTCCTTTTAACTCTTTTTTCAGGAAGAATGGCGAGTTGGAGCTTTCTGAAGAGGTAGAGGGAGAGGAAATTTCTGATTTTAATTAGCATCATTTATAATCTCCTGATTCATCAGTGAACATCTCAGTAACTTTCTTTAAAGGAAGGACAATCACAAAAGAGACTGAAAAAAACTTTTCATAAGACCTTCTGAAGCAAAGAGTAGTGTGGAGAGATCAGTGAACAACAAGGTGGAAAAAGATAGCAGTCAGTGTTTGCCTGGAGATGGTACAAAATGAGCCTTTTGGTTTAAGGCTACCTCATCAACTAGATTGTACCTTAATATATTCTGTACTCAGTGTCATGGAAGACAGACCTGTTTATTTTTGTTGAATTAGAAAAAAAGGCAAAGAATTGTAGCTCAAATGGAAGTATTTCCTCAATGGTAACAAATTCCTTCCCTGTGAGTTCTCCCTTCTTTGGTAGAGAGAACACTGTTGACCTCTACCTCTCTCTGGTAAAAGCTAACTAAAGATGATGAGACCATATAATAGGAATCCTTACCCAGAATTTGGTCAGCCTTTACTTTTTAAACTGAAATTCACCTCCATAACGCTGATTTGGAAAAGAAGCCCTTAATGAAAGGACAATGAATCTATGCTTTGAAGAAACAAAAGCAATTTTAAAATAGTAAAAGGATTTGGACCCATGTAACTGAGATCCTGTCTTTGGGAAATGTGGGCTCTGCAGAGAGGAAGGAAAAGTACATCTCCAAGGATGGGAGGGAGCACCCCTCACTCCCTTACAGCTAGAAATGGGAGATCTGTGCAGATCCTAAGTCTATAACAGACACTACACATTTTAAACAACAGAAAAGGAACACCTTTCAAAATCCCAGCTTGCAGGATAAAGGGAAATATATAAGAGATATGAATTCTCCTAATTAGGCTGAGTCATGTGGGCTGAATGTGGGCTTCCTCTAGGTCACAAGCCAAATAGTCCTCCTGCACATAAGTGAAGAAAAGAAAAATTTTATCTCTAAAAGCTGAACATCCTCTAAAAGCTAAATAATAAAATAAAAAAGAACTACCTTTACGAAATGAAAAATTCACATCAACACATGTGTTAAAGATTTTCTCTTTGTTTTTCAAACTAAGGCTATGAAATGCTCTTACACCATATCAAAAGTAATAGTCAGCCCTTTCTTTTGTTATTCTACAAATATTTCTGCCTCTACAACTAGAAAACTCTGGATTTTGCTAACAACATGTCTAGATCTAAAAGACATTATAGAAAAAATTCCAATTTACTCTAGAAGCAATTATACATACAATCTAGGAAAAGGCCAATTTTACTAAGCAAGGACCACACATACTGTATGTTTGTTATATTACTTGATACCAAAGCAGAAACATCATCAAATACTTTCCTAGGACACACACAAAATGAAGAGCCTGGATCTAAGTTTCCCACATCTAATACTGAGCTATCTGGTACAGCTTACAGAGCGGGGAAATGCTGATACAGTTTTATTGGAAAGGAACACTTTTATGCTTTACATAATATATGATCATTTAGTTATATTTTGGATTAGATGGAAATTAATTTGATTGCAATGGTCATATATCACATTATAATGTGTAGCCCTTTGGTACCACATCACTGGGAAATAGCAGATATTTGCTGACAGTGGGCCAGAGCTATAGTTCAGCAAGTAGGGTACTTGTTTTGCACTTAAGCAACCTGAATTTGATCCCCAGCACCTCATATGTTTCCCTGAACCTCACTGGGAGTGATCCCTGAGGGCAGTACCAGGAATAAGTCCTCAAATCTGTGGAGTATGGTCCCCAAAAGAACGAAAACCAAACAAAAATAAAACAGAAACAGTAATTTGCTGATGCTATGTCAGTAGGTGACTTAAAATTTTTCATCAGTCATCATGATTGTCTCACGTCAGTTGGGGTGATCTGTTAGAAGAACTACCATATTTCTGTTTTGTTCTGCATCATCATGATATTTGTATGGTGACTTTCACTGAGATGTTCAGAACTTACTGAGGATCTCTACTCGGTGCTAAACACAGGCATCAAAAATATAAACTCAGGACTGGAGAGACAGTACAAAGGCTGAGGTACCTGCCTTGTAATCCCCTACATTGTATACCTTCACTCAAGCACTGCCAGGAGTGATCACTGAGCACAGAGCTAGGATTAAATCCTGAGCAACATCAGAAGTGGCTATCCTCTCCTCCCCAAAACAGAGCTAATTAAGTTATTTCCTTAGGAAACAGTCTTGGGAAGAAGAATAAAGACTATAAATGAGCATAAAAAAGGCTGGCTGTTTATTCTCTGTTTTATATAATGTACACAGGTCAAGAAAAACACTGGAAGAGAAAGGGGATAGAAAAAAGATGATCAGGGAGGGTGAATCTCAAGGAGACTCTTGAATGAAAAGGAGGTAGTTTCTTGGGTGTATTATAAAAGTGGGTCCACTAGAAATAGAAAACAAAATGGAGAAAAATAAAATAAAAGGATAGCATGAAAGATAAGGGGAATACAAATATTTGCTGTTCCTAGAGTAGATCTGTTTTAAAGAACACCCCTTTCAAAAATGGAGATATACAAGGAAGAACTTAGTTCTTTAGAATAAGGAGTTTAGACTTTATATTATAGGCACAGTTTGACATATTCCCTAAGTACTTACAATGTAAACTAATTCAAGCAGAATGAATGATGCTAGCATAAAGATCTACTAATGGGAAAAAACAGAAAATGGAGAAACAGAGCAGGAAATTCAGAATACATGTGGAAGTTAATATATGAAAAGATAGCATTTACAACTAGTGGATAAATGATGAAGGTTCCTACAAATGTTGTTTGGACCATTGATCAAGCATTTGAAAATAAAATTTAATTTCTGTATATCATGTTGTACATTAGAAAAATTTCCAGAATGGATTAAGAATTTAAATGTAAAAAAGTACTAGAAAAAATTTCTTATCTAGAGTTAGGACTATTTCTTTTAAAAATTTGACAATAAGGTCAAACAAAGCAAAAGATAGGTACAATTACAAAATCACAATCTTTAAAAATTACAAACTTCTGAGAAGTTTAAGGCATGCTAATTGTAAGATGTAACAAATTGGGAGAAATATAAGCAGACTATATAATACTCAGAGGAATGATACCTAGAATATACACTGAGCTCCCACAGATCAATTGAAAAATTAACCTAAGAGAAATGGTCAAAGGGCACTATTAAGAAATTTTTTAATTAAATATTTTATATCAAAAACTGACATGGATCTGTCTTGCCTGAATATTCATAAACCATAGTTTAAACAAGAATTGCCTTTGGTACTATGTGTCATTGTCACTGTCCTCCCGTTGTTCATCGATTTGCTAGAGCAAGCCCACTAACATTGTGAGACTTGCTACTGTGTTTGGCATATTCAATACGGGTTCTATTTATACTGAATCAAATTAAGCCACTATTATAATCAGAAAGCCCCAGTTAAGAAAACTTAGAAGCTTTAATGACACAAATTAAAAATTATCCTCTGGGGCTGGAGTGATAGTACAGTGGGTAGGGCGTTTGCAATTGCATGCGGCTGAGTAGGACGAGTGGAGTTCGATTCCTCTACCCCTCTCGGAGAGCCCCGCAAGCTAACGAGAGTATTTCGCCTGCACCGCAAAACCTGGCAAGCTACCGTGACGTATTTGATATGCCAAACAAAGTAACAGCAAGTCTCACAACAGAGATGTTACTGGGCCTGCTCAAGCAAATCGATGAACAAGGGGAGGACAGTGCACCAGTGCCTCTGGCCATTAAACTAATAATATTAATACCATCAATTTACTTCTGTGATAGCTTCCATTATATTTATTTTAAAATGTATTATTCAGAAAAAAACACAGAAATTTAGGAAAATCACCTTTATAAATATTCTTTTCTGTTAAGAATAAAAATATGGAAAATAAGTTATAAAATAAAATATTAAAATATCTATTTGAAAATAGAGACTGTAAGAGGAACTGCTTACCCTTCTGTTCGGGAAATCATTCGGAAGCTGTCTCCTAAGCTTTTGTAACTGTTTGGATCAGTTGCACATCTTTGAATCTGGAACCTAGAAATAAATCAAACAAACCAAAAAAAAAAATCAAGTAAAGGATTTTGCCAAATGACTTTCTTATTTTCCAATGTCTTAGGAAACTCAGCTTTTTTGGATTAATCAAATATTTTGGGTTTTGCAATAGATTTCATTGATTTATTTGCTTTGTATAATCTTTACCTTATTTTTACAACCATTACAATCGTGACATTTCTCTGCACTTTAATAGAAACTGCACAAAGAGTTTCCATTCTTAGCAAGCAGATGCACCCTGGAGCGTTTAAACTTTTTTTGTGAAAAGCATACACAGATGTCATAGATTGTTTCAACATAGAATTCGAATATCTGAAGATGCATATGAAACAAATAAGCAGCTCTATTTCTTATCTTAATTAGTGCTCCTTGATGGTAATTCAACACAAAAGATGAAGGTGCAGAATTCCAAATATGGCCTAACTTTAATTCTGATAATAAATCTAAAATTCTTTCTGGTACATAGACACCTGTGCATAGAACAAGTGTTGGGTTGTATTGTGGTACTGTTTGCTATTATTACTTCATGACGGAGCAGACTTGGTCCTTTTGGGTAGTTTGGGCAATCTATATCTTCACAGAAGTTCACTGCTCTCTATATAGTTGGTGTTCAATAAAATGGGTGCCACTTTTTGAAAGCTAAATTCTTTTTTAAAAAAACTCTTCTTTATTGGGGGGGTTATGGCCATAAATCAGAACACTCTGCTTAAAAATTTGAAGGTTTTCAATATGAAAATCTTAACTTTTTGTTTGCTTTGAGGTTTGTTTCTAAAGGATTTATGACAACTACTCTCACTTCCTTTGAAATTAATTATTTTCTATTTTCTGCTCACAAGCATGGGCTTCTCCAGAGTGGAAAAAGCAAGCATCGTCATAGAGACAAGAAGTCAAGGAAGAATAAAGGCTTGAAGAGCAAGCCTGCGTATGTGATTTTGGGGTCACACCTGCTGTGCTGAGGGCTTACTCCTGGATCAGAGCTCAAGGCTTACTTCTGGGAATTTAGAAGACCCTTTGTAGTACTGAGAATTGAATCTGTTTGGCCATGAGTAAGAAGTAAAGTGAATACCTGCTGTACTATCTCTCTGGGTTCTAGCAAATAGTGGTTTTGTTTTGTTTTCTTTCCTTTTTTTTTCTTTCTTTTTTTTTTTTTTGCTTTTTGGGTCACACCCAGCTATGCTCAGGGCTTAACTTCTGGCTCTCTACTCAGGAATTACTCCTGGCAGTGCTTGGGGGACCATATGGGATGCCAAGAATCAAACCCAGGTCGGCCGCATGCAAGGCAAATGCCCTACTCGATGTACAATCACTCTGATCCCATTTTTTAAAAAAATATGTATATTATAGCTCTAGGTCTTCAGAGAATTATGTCCAAAGTGGATTTTAAAAAGTGAATATTTTGCTCTGTTTAAAGCATTTGGGCAATGGGTGAATTAATATATAATAAGACTAGAAAGTGAGGCTGGATGTATTAGATTTTGTAGAGATATGAATATGATTCAGCAGGAAAATATCTGTACTGACTTGTGGGAGTTGACTCTTCCAGCAGAGGCACATACAACCCCCTAAAACTATGAATTGCCTGGATATGTGGATTCAAGTGATGGGAAGAACAATGAGGACGGCCATATGTGAACCCGAGTGAGAAATAACACCAAAATACAAATGGAGGCAAGAGAAATGTGGCAAATGAAAGAAGTGTGTTGTGTAATCGTTTCTTCTATAGTAAATATTTAAATGATACCCTCACATACCCCTCTTCCTCTTAAAACCAGTAAGTAATATTCCACAGCCCATTCATACTATTGTCAGTATTTAAAATAACATGGATATTTGTCTTTCATGATGTCAAACTTACACCTCTATTAGCATAATCATTTTTCAGAAGTTCTGTTTCCAGACAAGATATACAGTTCTTAAATTTAAATAGCAAGGAACGCATCAGAAAATCACGGCCCAGTATAACAAACTTACTTACATTTATCCCACTGTCCTTGATCTAGACATGCACTGGTTGTGTATATAACCATTAGCTTATAACAGTAAACAGTTCTGCCTATCATCAAGAATTCTATTTAGGGGCATGAGGAATAATGCAATGTTTCATTCCCAGCTCCACATATGGTCACCTTGAGTACGATCAGGTGTGATCCCTGAGCTCAGATCTCGAGAACCACAGGTGTGACCCAAGAACTGAAAAAAAAATCAAATTTTCAGATTAGGTTGATAATATTTGATATTTCTGGGTTGTTGTAAGTAGATAAGAAAACTTGATACTTTTGATATAAATTAACACTCATTAAAGTACATAACAGGAGAATTAAATGTAAGTTTATACAGCAAATAACTGAAAAAATAATGATTTTTAAAATAAGACTTCGATTATAATTTTAAAAAGAAACTCCATGTACAAAAATATCCATTTGCATATTTGTTCTTATAACGAGATGATTTTAAACATCTTCCTTTATATAAGAGTATATGCTTCAAGATTGCAGGCTGGACCTGACTGGGGCTAGGAGAGGGAACATGGGTACACTGGTGGAGGAAAGTTGACACAGGTGGTAGGATCAATGTGATGGAACATTGTATGTCAGAAACCCGACTATGAATAACTATGTAATTCATGTTCATGGTGCTTTAATAAAATAAAATGTGGGGGGAAAAAAGGTCAGGCTTATACTTTTTCTTTATTTGTAATAATTTTTCATTGTTTCCATCAAATTTCTTTCTAGATGGTTTCCCCCACAATTGCCAACAAGACTTTAATAAAATGCTCTATGAAACAGGATCCTACAGGTTTTACGAAACACAGAACTTCTCTTTTCTCTCAAGAAACACAATTAACCAATATGAGTAGGGCAGGGGTGGTAGTGGTGGGGGAACAAAGGGGCGGAGGGGAAACCCCAACATAATGAGAAATATCTAGAATGTCAAGTAGCACCGGTACTGAGTTGCCCAGGTGTTCATCTAGGGAGCAATTACTATTTGCTGTGGATGATCAGGATGAATTTCAGGAAGCAGAAGGGATCTGAACTGGTCCTTCTGGGATTCAGAGAAGCAAAAAAGAGTAAGCCGGAAGGAAGTATTCCAGGTGGGGAAATGAGCTGAACAACGGTCAGTGAGAGAAAGCTGCTCTTTCAAGAGAAGTGAGGAGAAAGATCCCCACTGTAGCAGTCCAAGTTTCCTTCAGGACAGATGTTAGATGACTTGGCAGAAAGTGCAGAGTTGATCTGGGTGGGAGGAAACTTTGTGTGGTTGAAGGACATCATTTAGGAGATAAGTCAAAGCTCATACAACATTTGGCCTTTTCAGCTGGCCCTGGTCCTAGAAAGGACTGTGGAAAAGGTAGCAGAGGTGGGCTGGAGAGATAGAAAGCAAATAAGGCATTTGTTTTGCGTGCAGCTGATACCCATGGTCCCCTGAGTCCTGCCAGGAGTAAGTCCTGAACACAGAGCCAGGAGTAACCCCTGGGCATTGCCAGGTGTGGCCTCAAAACAAAACAAACAACAAAAAAGAGGTTAGCAGAGACACCAAGTCCAAGCACCCAGAAAACCCAATGCCTACAAAGTTGACCTTAGCCCTCTTTTACTGTCTGGGTTAGAGACATCTGCTATGACTATGATATATGCATGCTTGGTGATAAAAAGAGGGTCCTTTATCATTTTGTAAGGTTAGGTAAGGTTATTTAAGAATTAATTAGTCATCTAACCACAATTGGAACTCAAGGCACTTCACTACCTAGATTCTTTTCCTATTTTCAGAATGAGAAAATAGTATTTTCTGATATTTATAATTCTATTTCATTCAGTTAATACATTTTTGAAGACTGGTATTAAAACTCCAACCTTCGCAGGGTGTGCTATAGGGAAATGGAACATAATCCTACTTTTAGAAGCTTCTAGTTAGGTGAAGAAGATATGCCAATAGATAGTTGCTATATATAAAGAATAATATCTAGGAATAACTTTCCAGATTATCAGTCAGTGGGTTCTAATAGTACTAAATAATCACCAGTATTACTCTTTCAGAGGTGATCTCTCTTGATGGTGAATTGTAGCTAACTGAAATTTGCCAAGTGAGACACTGGAATGCAGAGAAGGAAAAAGCAAAGGAAGGCTATTTGTGACCAGTGTATATATGACTAACTGCTACCCACCCACGTTAGAACAGACAAGGACAGTCAGTGGAATCCTTGAGGAGCATTCCATTTAGGAGCTGACTGATGAGTGGCACTATATTAATTACAAACAGGAGCAGCAACATCAAAATATTAGGTGAGCTGAGCTATAGGGCAAGGTAAAAGGATGAGCAGTCCTGGTAAATATTAATTGCTCACTAAAGTCTTCCTGACATTCTTTACTATGCTGAAGCCCATTGAACCAGGCTAAGGCAAGTTCAGTCAATAGTCCCTCTTCGCTGCACATCTCACATGCAGCATGCCTACTTTTTAGAGAGAAAGTACATACGATCCTCAATTCTACTACACATGACTTATTCTGATCATAGAGTTATCAGTTCTTGTATGGAATCTGTTTCAACTGGTTATAATTATAGTGTATTTTGGTCAATCATGTAAAATAGCAATTTCCTTCTTCCTCTCCACTACATTTCAGCAACTTAAAAGGTTTCAATCTTGGATTGAAGCTTTAGATCAGCATTTTCCAAGCTGTATTCTGTGTTCACAAATTCTCTGTGTTTGGGGACACAATTTTCCAGTTACGTAATGCAACCCTGTAAAATTACAAAGGCAAAGCCACACTACTCTTGATTGTATTCAGAAGAAATGGTTGGACCTTTTCGTTGTCCTAATAAATGCTGCTCAGACACATCTGGAATCTCCATCTGAGCAAGTTCTTTTATTACAATGAAAGTTTGCTGCCAAACTGGCAAAATGGACAAAGGAGTAACACTCAAGATTCAGCTAGCCAGAATTAAAACAGGGAATGGAGTGTGGCTCAGACCCTACCCTCCACTGCCCGCGC